TGCTGACACCAGAGTTTCGGTGCTGGGAAAGTCCACCTGAGGTGAGAGAGTGTGGCTGGGGGGATGTGATGTTCAGACACAGCCCCCCAAAAGCCCAATGCTTACACAAATGCACCTGCACCAGGAGCTGGAGGAAGGTGCTGAGCTGTGGGATTCAGGGAGGGCAGAAGGAAGATGGGACCCCAGGAACTGGAAGCCCAGATGACTGTCCCATAAAGGCTGGTTAGATACAGAAATGCTCCTGGGATGAAGTAGGTGTGTGGCAGGACACAACGGGAACCCACAGGTCTTAGGAGGGCAAGTTTGGGGATTTCATTGCTATCTGCAAGGATTGAAACTGTCCCTCAGATATACTGGTGGAAAGCAAGAGCTATCCCCTTGCAGATGATGAAACTGCTATGGCCTGGGGAAGGATTTTACCCTGCAGGTGTGGTCCTAAGATGGGACGGAGATTTTACCTTCTAAGGGAGCAGTGGGGACTCAGAGCGGTAGGGACCTGCAGCACATGCCCGTGGCAGCAGCATGGCTAGGCTGGACATCAGACCTCTGGGACAGGCTACCCTGTCCCTAGATATTCAGCCCCCAGCTGAAGCTCTGGGCACTTGTAAACTGGTTATTTAAGAATAAGAAGAGACTGACAAGCCCTCCCATGCCCAAAGGTCATTAGGAGAGCAGATTTGGCTCTGCAGTCGGATGTTTTCTCTCTCTGACGGTATTATGCAGATGTGCTTCCAGTCATTGTCCTCCAGAGCAGCATAGAGTGCCCTCCCCAACCCTCCCACTGCCCAAGGCAAGCCCCTCAACATCCTTCTGTTCTCCAGCAGATGCAGACCATGTGGGCAATGTTGATCTGCCTGGCTGGAGGGCAGTTTGCAACTGCCACACTCTGCAGAACCTATGGCACCATCCCAGGCATCCCAGGGTCACCAGGACAGCCTGGCAGCAATGGCAGAGATGGTGCGAATGGCCTAAAGGGAGAGCAAGGTAAGGAGAGGGCTGCAGGTGGGGAAAATGCCATATTGTGAATACCAAGAGCAGGAAAAGGTAGTGCCAGGCACATGGTCCTGGGAAAGTGATCCATTTTCCACCAGTCCCTTTGGGGTGTTATCAGGTGGGGGTGACAGAAGGGGCTGGACAGACCAGAGAACCCCAAGGAACCTGGGGAGGGATGGTGCACAAGAGGAAGGGGTGTCACCCCTGCCATGTGGGCAGGGGTCTCCGTTGACCCACACCCCAGCATAGGTACTGGTCGTTTCCTCCCCAGTATCCCCTCTGCAGACCCGTGGGGCTCAGCTGCAACCACAATGACTCTTCCTCCTGCTTTCTAGGTCCCCCTGGCCAAGTGGAGCACGAAGGAGACATGGGGGAGAAGGGAGACCCAGGAGAACCAGGGCACCCTGGGAAGATCGGCCCCAAGGGCCCTGCGGGTTCAAAGGGGTTACCAGGTCCCATGGGACCCCCTGGCCCTCCAGGGGACTCTGGTGACTACAAGGCCACCCTCAAGTCTGCATTCTCTGCTGCCAGGACCCTCAGCTCCTACCCACGCCGGGAGCAGCCCATCCGCTTCGACCGCATCATCACCAACGAGAAGGGCCACTATGAGAACCGGTATGGCCGCTTCACCTGCCGGGTCCCAGGCATCTACTACTTCACCTACCATGTCACCTCCAGGGGCAACCTGTGCCTCAATGTGAAAAAGGGCCGGGGTGGTAGCCGGGGTGAGAAGGTGGTGACCTTCTGTGACTACGTGCATAGCAGCTACCAGGTCACCACAGGTGGTGTGGTCCTCAAGGTGTCAGCAAACGAGTCCGTCTGGCTGGAGCCAACTGAGAAGAATTCCCTGGTGGGGATCGAAGGGTCCGACAGCATCTTCTCCGGCTTCCTCATCTTCCCTGAGCCTTAGCCTGCTGACCGTGTCTCTCTGTAGCCCTACTCCTGCTGCTGGCTGGCCCCTGCAGGGCTGAGGACTCCCCTGGAAACGACTCTTTGCTCCAGATTTGGTGCCCTAATTGTGTTGCTGCCAGTCTTGCTCATTAAATGACAGCTCCTTGTGCTGCTGGTTCCTTCCTGCCTAGGATTTGCCTCTTTCCCCCTGAATAATGCTCAGATACCCAGGGCATTGCCTCTCGCACCCCTGACTGCAGCTTAGGCTCGTTAGCATCTCATGACTGCTGAGCAGAGCCAGACAACACATGCAGCTCCTGCTGCAGACCACACTGAGTATCTCCTTCCAGAGCCACCCAGAGAAAGTCCCAGCCCAGGGCTAGGAAAACACAGAGAAGAAGCCTGGTCGCTAGCAGGGGGCGGGACACATGACATAGCGGGAAAACTGGGGCCACTGGGTACTGGTGGTAGATGGGGAGATGCTGAAGATGGTGCTGTACTGGAGAGCCCTGAGGCTGGTAGGTTCTGGGGACACCAACCTCCCTTAGACTTTTTTTGGGGGTGGTGATGACAATAACATCCACAGAAGTTTGTCAAAGCTTGTGACAAGATGAGCCAGGTGTACATGGGGAAGCCAGAGCTTGATGCCGTGATGGAATAGGTGTGGGGCACACAGCTATCCCCTGGTGCAGCTGGGCAGGTTCCAGAGCAGCCCCATAACCTCAGCAGAGGATCGACACATGCAAGTCCTATAGCACAGCCAAGCCTTCCCAGAGATGCCTTTATTAATAGCAGAGCCGATGGACCCAAGGATTTCCAGGCGAATATGAGGTGAGGCCCCCAAGGATGTCCCTGTCCTTGGGGCAGGTGACAATCCAGTATTGTGGGTGGGCGGTTTGCCTGCAGCCGCCAGCCCAGCCATGGCAGCTGCAGGGTGTGATGCCCATGGGGGTGCACACAGAGTGCTGAAGACACAGAAGAGGAGAACTTCTGTGGTGGGGTTTGGGCTTTAAAAGGGGGTGGATGAAGGGGATGATGGTAAAGGGTCTTGGG